CCCCAAAACCCCAAAACCCCAAAACCCCAATTTTTCTGGGAGTTATTGAAATTTAAATTAAAAATGTCGTTCAATTACCAATCAGAAGTATCAGCTGAAGATCTCCTGGATGAATATATAGAGAAGGAAGACAGGTCTTACTTAGAGATCATGACTGAGGTGGATATCAACGATAGCCACTCTGCAAGAGTCCCCTCTCGGAACACAATGGAGCATGATTTCAATTTTTTATAGGATCTCGAATGAACGAGTATAACAATAATTTGCTACATAAACTTAATTATGAGACTGATGCTGCTAAATATCCGAAGCAGGCCATCTTGAAACCTAAAGGATACGATTTTATGCACATTGGAGCAAGGTATGGCCAATTTTTACCCTTCAGCTCCCCTGAGCAAGAGACTAAATCCAGTTGTCCCTCATTTAGCGAATTTTATAAGCAAAGTGTTTTGAAGAATGATCATGCTTATGATTCTATTAAGACTGAAAATTTGATTAAGAATTCCTTTATCAACCAGAAGTAGGCCACAAATTTATCTTTATAGAGTAAATACAGAGAAAGGATATGATATAAATGATTTCTTGCCGGATAAGAAGAAGTCCGGTCTTGTTCTTCAAGATAGAGAAAGAAACAAAATAGAGTCTCCTTCCCTTAGAGATCACTGAAGCAGTTGTTGTAGCTGCAAGCACGTCTCTGAAACAAGGTCAAATCATATGAGAGCATCATTTTCCTCTTCAGGTTCGTCTAATAGAGGAAATAACACTCGGAGACAAAACAGGCCTGACTCCAGCTTGTTTGAGTATAAACTTCCTGAGAGAGAAGATGACTTTGATACAGATAATACCATGGATCTTTGAAGAGATACTGAGACTGAAAATGAAGCTTTTAGTTCAAAAAATGGTCCTGAATTCAGTAAATATATCTCAGAAGTCAACCTCCAAATGCTAGGTGATCAAAGACCACCAAGACCTGTAAAAGAGAATGAAAAGACTTTGAAGCCAGCACATTCTAATCAAAATATTATGCAGAGTCCTGCTTTTCAAGGATCTTTGGAAAGAGTTCTCAATAATGATAACTCAGTTTCTTCCCTCAATAGCGGAAGAGGTAGAAATAGGAGATCTCGGTCTAAAATTACAAGAGTGCATTCGATCAAGAAATTCAAAGAGGATGAACTAAATGAAAATATGAACCCAAATTCTTCCTTTATGCCTCATCAGGTGCAAGATCAGAACTCATATGAAAGTACTGCAAAGAAGCATCAGTCAGAAGCTAGATATAATGTATCTGGAACAAAAATAGAGTTTAAAACGCTAGACTCTTGCTATACTCCAGCAGTCCAGAATACTAACGAGAGCCATATGACTAATAATGAGCTTGACCATGCTCTAGATAAGGAATATGCTATTCTGGAGAAGAACTATGGACAGCCGCCTCTGAACTCTTCTATGATTTCTCAAGACCATGAGAAAAGAAGACAGAAATGTCTACAGGACACTTCTCCTGGATACAAAATGCCTTCTTTTATGCAAGAGAAGGCTCTTGAGCAGGAAGAAAGCTTGCAATATGATGTAAAGCTTCCATCCAACCAGCCTTTGCTGGATAGGATAGAAGAGTTGGAGCAGAAAAGGCTTGGCATTCCTAATGATAAACCCTTCTCTTATAATTCTCATCAGGAGCTTCCTCTTCAGGAAGCTCCTGATGAATCATATCAGAATTGAGACGCTCAGGAAATTCAAGAGAGCCAGAAAACTCTGAAGCCATTGGAAATGGCTTCAGAGTATCTGAGCTATGAAGACCGCAAGAAGAAAGCTTTAGAAGAACTTGATGAGATCATAGCTTCCTCTGAAGATGAGATCCTAGCTGTGAATAATTATTTGAGTAAGATGTCTAACTTATCTGTCTAGATTCCTCTAAATTTTACCAAGTTGAGCAGCCTCCTCAAAAAGAAATTTCGAAGTTTGAAGAATCTCATAGAAATGGAATGAGGAAAAGTAGCGGGAACATTAAAATTTATCAAAGTTTTGAGACCCAGAGTTATGAAGAAGACACTTACTCTCCTAATAGCTCAAATTTTATGTCAAAAGTGTTAATAATTCAAAAGAGCATTAGAAGGTACTTGCAGTCTAAGAGAGGATCAGTGCAGAAGCAGCAGGAATTTAATACAGCTCCTACAAAACAGGTGGATAAAAATTTGTATATTTTCCCTGAAAATTTGAATGATAGCAAGAATCAAACACTTTCTAGCGTTGATATCCCTGAAGAAGCAGGTAAGGTTTCTAAATCTAAAGACTTAAACAATTCTTAACTTTCCACTTCTCAATGGCAGGACTCTCAATGCCACATGTGCTTGCTAGGCTGTAGTTGCTTTAAAGGGCTTTCTCAGTGTATATATTCCAGCACGTTTGAAGGCCTGTTTCGAATTTCTAAAGAGTCTCATTGTGTGTAGTCCAACTATCCAAATCAATCGAGAATGATATATCAAGTATCAATTGTAGTGCACACTATGTGACCTCGATCCAGAACATCCAGGATATTAAGAGAAGAGTCCTCACAGAATCAGGTAAGAGTATTGATGAATCTGTAGCTGAGAAGTCACCAATCCAGTACAAGTATAGTAAAGAAAACAGCATGAGGAGCACTGACAAATCTCAGAAAATAGAAAAATCAATGCAAATCACTGATAAACAAATTGAAGAGGCTAAACTCCAAGTACAAAGAGAGCTAGCCAAGCTTGAAGAGACCTCTTCTGACGAATCCTACTTATTCAGCGATAGAGAAGCCGTCGAGGAGCCAGCCAGCTTTTCTGCCAAAAAGGAGGAGCATAAAATCACCATTACACATAGGGAACATTCTCAAGATGATGAATTCATCACACTTGAAAATGGGAATATTCTAACACCCTCTCAGAACAAGAACTCAGAAGCGAAGACTAGCCGGGAAGCAACTCTTGATAAGAGGAACGACACTTCTGAGTCTTTTCTGAACTACTCACTCTCTGATGAAGAAATGGAGCATAAGTTAAAGCAGAGTATTGCCAACCTCATCACTGCTGTTACTAAGAAAGACCAGAAGGACACTATTCAGACACTAAATGAGTTAGATCTGTCCAAAAGTAGCCAGATAGAAGGGATGATCAAGGAAAATCTTAAAGCAAATCTCCTTGACAGAGATGAAAATCTCAGCTCATATCTTTCAAGTAGCAATTTGGTAATTTTCCTTCCTCATCTATAGAACAATGAGAATGTAAAGAACCCGAAGTAAGAAGTCTTATTTAAAGTATTTTCAATATGTGTTTTGAAAATCGGGGTTTTGGGGTTTTGGGGTTTTGGGGTTTTGGGG